TACACATCCCCTCAATGCAGTTCACAGCTCAGAATAGCAAACAGAAGTGAGTAAATTTCTGTGCAAAATCACTTGGATGTCAAATTGTTTGAAATTGCATAACCTCTCAATAATTGCATTTTTTCTAAGTTGTCAAGGAGAGGATCTCCTATGAAAAACTGAAGAAATAATTCAGAAAGACCATTTAAAGGTGCAGACCACAAAGTTGAAACTGAATGCAACAAAAACCTGTGGGTTTTAATCATCCTAACTCTATGAGCATGATTATAAAATGAGCTGTAAACACCAGAATTCAGTTTTGAGCCCATGGGCTGTGTCTATTGGTTCAAAAAATGGCCCAGTGTACTCAGTTGGATGATGGCAAGCTCCGCCCAGTCAGAGACCTGAAAGAAAGAAACACAAGACAAAGGCTCTGGGGCTGTATCATGATATCAAGGCAATAAATGTCAGTACATAGTGATGATAAAACCTCTCTCTTCAATTCTGAGTATAAATTGACTGCAGGACTTTCTTTGCCAGTATTGTTGCTGTGTGATATTAACAGTTTAATGAAGAAAACAGTTTAAGTTATTTGTTACTTATTGTAACACTAATACCAGCATACAATTAGAGAAACTGAAAATAAAGTAAGACTGAGATTGTCTGCAGCTAAAATCACTAGATTCTGTTCTGTGCACTCTGAAAGTAAAACTGAAATTCTGAACAGTTCAGATGATGCTCTGAATTTCAGACTAAATTCAAACAAACGGCTACAGAATACTTACTTTTAATTATTAACCCATGTTCGTATAATGTAATAACTCCATGTGTGGGCTGCAAGAAAATATAATATACCTGGTATGCGAGGGATTAACTAGGAGTTCAGCAGGTAAACTGTATTTCTCCATCTGTGATGAACTTTTGCTGAATGTTTCGACAAATTGATTGTGTTTCTGCTCAGCAGTAAGTGTCCTCAAGAAACAAGACAATGTTAATGTTAATTGTTAACTTACGATGTGTTCGTTTAATTCAATGTTTTGGTAGCAAAGTTAATGATGGGTTAATTGTTTGTATGTTTAAGTCAGCATCTCAGTGAAGCCAGAAAATATGGTTTCTGTGTTACAAGGGAGACTAGAAGTAACGTTGAATACAGTATTCTGATGCTTGATTTCACATCAGTTCAAAAGGCAGATAAGACCCCAGCTATAACTCCTTGGTTTTTTGCACTTTTGCCTTAATTATGACATTTTGAATGAGAGAAAATGATATAAAAGTATAGTACAGGTTTTCTTCTCTCCTGAAACGCTTCTATAAGTTGAAGTTTGGGTTGGTAATGTGTTTTAGAGGCATTTTTTGTTGTATTTGCTTATTTTCTCAAAACCCCAACAGCTATCAATAAATTAAATGATCTGACAAAAAAAGAAAAATTTGGTGTCTGTCAAAATCCTGCAATTAACCTCTCCAATCATTCCAGTAGCTCAACCAGATAAGATGGCGACCCATGAGCAGGACTAGGTTCCCCGATGCAGCAGTCGTGGGTTCGACCTTCCGCCCACAGCAGGTCTCTCCCCATTCTTCTCCCCACTTTCCTGTATCTCTTCACTGCACTGCTAAATAAATGCCAAAGCCCATAAAAAATAAATAAATACATACTGACTGCATAATTTGAGTGGTTTCAGATTACGTATTTAATTTCTTCCCACCAGATCAAACGACTGAGAACCATAAACAGCATGGACCTTCCATGGTGATTCAAGCAGTGACCTTCAAACTCAGACATTTAAGATAACCTTTGTATGATCCAATGGAGTGGAAGTGCAAGTTGTGTGCTGTTTCTGCAGACTCCCAGGTACAGTTATTTCAGCACTATCGCTTGAAACATAGCCACTAGTCAAGAGCTAGCCCTTTGCCATGTCTCTATGACTCTTGTATTTGTAAATTTCAGTCATTTAATGCCTTGAAAATTAATTTGTCATGGTTTCACAAAGACATGTAGAACTGGTGCAAGTGAAGCAGGAAGTACACCTTTACCTGTCCCTTGTGTAACTTGAAACAGCCCTTCTCAGAGGAAACATTGTTCAGGAGTTCAAGGAAAATCCACAAACTGTTCTCAGTATACTGGGTATTTGAAGATCTACCAAGTAAGTACAGATCAGTGCTGCATGTGATTCAGGTAGCAACAGTTAGTAAGGTATCTGATCTTTAGAGTCGTGGCTACCAATTAGTGCTTGGTCCTTTGTTACAAGACCTTTGCACTCTTGAACAAAATGGTGTGTTCATTGAGTCTCTTGGTCAGTCAGTTTGAGGTACGGTTTTGTTTTTGTGTTGTGTCTGATAATCTGGCAGCGCACTCATTAGCAAGCTTTATGCAGTCTTTCCAAGCAGGACACATTTGTCAATTTTCCAGCGCTACATGAGACCAAATTCAGTCACATGATGTTGGAGATGGTGAATTTAGTTTGAGGATGAGCCAGTTCTGACCACAATTTGCAGGATGTTGTGCAAGGGGGTAGTCAGAGTCAGGTTAGTGTCAAAGGGGACTGTGTCTTGAATGAGAGTTTGCAGCATTTTCACACAACCACCTGTTTCCCACCTGATGTCCAGCACGACCTTTTTGAGGGCATTGTATCTGTGGAATTGGCCCTTTGTATTGAGAAGATGATTCAGCTTCAATACTTTACTCTTGAGCATTTAAACAGAAAAATCATGTCATTCCCATACCAACACACAGACCAACCAGAGCCTATTTTAAAGAGGTTTGCTGGAAAAAAAAAAAAGACCGTTGATGGCAATGGTCATGAAAACAGCGCCTTGTTGAGACTACTCCCATTGATGATCGGTAACACAGTTCCTGAGCAAGATGGTGTGTGGACTGTATTGATGGATTTAAAAGATCGTTGAGCTTGTCCTGTCCCCAACATTTGACAATGAATCTATTGAGTATTTGCGGACTAAGATACATGATCATAGACAAATGCTTCAGGAAGTTTTCCCTGAGTTCAGATTGCGCTCTAAGCATCACTATTGAGAGCACTATCCAGATCTCATAGGTTGTTTTGGACCTCTTGCCCATTTATGGACTATGAGATTTGAGGGCAAACCAAAGCTTTTTAAGCGTGTAATACACGATACACAAAACTTTCAGAATGCATTAAAAACACTTGCAAAGAGGCATCAGCACATGGTAGATGTGAGGTTGCAGAATCTCTGAGCAGCTGAATCTCTTTTTTTTTAATGTCCTTCTCTGTGCCCGTCTTGGTATCCTCTGTCTTGTTAGCTGTTCCAGTGTAGTCCACTTTGGCATTATAGAACTTGTTGTCAGACCATCTTGCCAGTACTAAATCTCCTGGTTTCAGATCTCTGAAGAAGCAACAGCTTTATCATCTTGTTTAGTATATTACAGACTTCAAAGATTTTTGCTGTGTGCCCATCTTCAAATGTCAAAAACACAAAGACCTCACTGGCGGGAAAGGAACCTGAGCTGATGTGGGAGGTGGAGCGTTACCAGCTAGTTATAGTCGCGCTCACCTCCATGCACAGCAAGGGATTCGGAACCAAACTCCTGGAGAGGGGTTGGATTCTGTCCTTTTCTGGAGTTGGTCAGGGTGAGAGGTGCCAGGTGGGTGTGGTGATGCTCACAAGCCCCCAGCTGAGCGCCGCTGTGATGGAATTCTCCCCCGACAACGAGAGGGTCGCCTCTGTGCGACTGCATGTTGCGAAGGGGAAAACTCTTTATTTGTGCATGTGCAGCAAACAGAAGTTCAGAGTATTCGACCTTCTTGGAGTCTCTGGGTGATGTCCTGGAAGGGGTGCTGCCTGGGGATTCCATAGTTCTCCTGGGAGACTTCAATGCTCACATAGGCAATGACAGTGAAACCTGGAGGGGAGTGATTGGGAGTAACGGCCTGCCCAGCGAAAGAAAAGATTAGAAATGTGCAAATACATCAGCTGTGAAAGGATCATAGCACATTTTGTATGCTATTCCAAAACACCTGAACAGGTGTCTCCTCCACATTCTCATGTCGTCAATGATCAACATTTAGGGAGATCTGGAAGTCAATTAGTGATGAGAGGGGGGTAGGTACCCGACGCATGAATATGTGACGGAGAGGGAGCCTGACCAAGTCTCTATATATGACGAGTAAGGAGTGAGAACATGTTGCTTTATTTATTCATTTTGATCTAATATGCATCTTAGCATATGACAAAATTGTTCACATAATAAAAGAGCTCCTTTGAAATCACAATATCTTGTGTTTTGTTCTGGTGTCATTGGCGCATGGTCGAACTTGATCAATAAATACATTTGATATATTTCTGCTGCTATTTGAAATCTATTCTCAAAATTTCAGCAACCATTTGGTTTGAACCAAGAAAAGCTGTTACGTTGTACCATTATTTTCAATATCTTAATTTATTGGGGAAAAAAAATAAACTTTGAGGCCCATCAACTGGTATGATTTTAAAATTGTTTCCTGTCATAATGTTCTGTGTTGGATAATTTTAAGTATTGTATAGTATTTAAAGGACGAATATAATTTCTAATATGTTGCTGTAATTGTTTTATTCTTAGAGATATCGATATAACCATACAGTATACTTCATTTTGTAAGGAAATATGAAATGCAAGCCAGACAGATTTAGGAAATGTTGGATTTTTATTTCAAAAATGGTGAGGTTAAGGGAAGCCATCACAGCTTTACTTCAAGTATCTTTGCTTTTCTGTTTTTCATTTGTGATGTTAATGCCATGCTACACTTTACACTCCTGTCAATTGTCAAAATATTTCGACAGTTTGCTCCATCTAACCACAGAGCATCTGCTTAGTCTGTAATGTTTCCTCTTCTTCTCATTATGGTGTACTGAAAAGGTCTCAGAATCATTGATTCCGGAAAATGATGTCATAATGATGTCATAAACAGTTCTGATAATAGTCTAACCAAATGCCATTTCACTGCTAAACTAAACCAGGTTTTGGAGAGGATTCAGCAACTTAGCTTACTGTGGTCAGTACATTCATGATGGATAAAACTTTCATGGAGAGACATGGTTATACATTTAGGAGCTGCTTGGGAGAAGGTGCTTTTGGTAAAGTTGTGAAAGCATACTCGATTACCATGAAGAAACTGGTTGCCATAAAGGTCATCAACACAAAACAAGTCAGTTCCAGTTGCAAGGAAAAGTTTGTGTCCCATGAGAAAAAGATTATTAGGTCTCTTAACCACCCCAACATCATCAAGACTCATAACATCTTTGAATCAAGGCTGGGCACGGTATGAGTTTTATAAATTCTTCTCTTTTACTGTCACAGTGAACATTACTGTATGGTTGAGGTTCTTCATCTATACTGTTCATTATCATTTTAAAAGCTTTTTGTTGCCACAAATGTCTGAATATAGGTATTGTTGTGAAATAAACACATGTAGACAGTAGCTTTGGATAACATCAAGTAAATAGAACTGCTGTTTTTGCTGATACAACAATATCACTTACTTTCCATGCACACCAAACCAACAGCAGCCATAATGACTCTTGTCTTGCAAAAATGGTCAGGTGACATTATACAGCTTACAAAGTCCGCAGAATATACATGGTCAGGGTGAAAGGACGAGTCAACAAGTGTCAGACTAACACAGGAGATCATTGTTTATTTCCCTTTTCCAAGAGAGGATTGATTTCTTTAAACTATAGGCATAGCTGTTCCCCAATGTTAACCAATTGGTTATTGTAACCATGATTACAAAAGCTCTCTAACCTTGAAGAAGTCATTTTAACTCAAAGCCTTATTCCTTTAGGAATCCAAGTTGATTTTGTGCCTAAACTTAACAAAACCTCATTTAGTGCTTTTAGACACAAACAAACAACATCATTATTAAGCATGTGGAATATTTACCGCTGATGCTACAGTTTGAGTTGTGAAGTCAGATCTTTCTCTTTTTTTTCCTTTTGTTCATTGTACATTCTCTTGCATATACTTTACTGTGTACTTTTGTATTTCTAGGTCTATGTGGTGATGGAATTCTGTGTGAAAGGAGACCTCTCAAACTACATTGCTGTCAAAGGGGCCTTACCTGAATCGTCCAGCTGCAGGCTCTTCAAACAGCTATGCAATGCCTTTCAGTATCTTCATAGCATGGATGTGGCTCACAGAGACCTTAAATGTGAAAATCTGCTACTGGACATGCATTTCAACCTCAAAGTGTGTGACTTTGGGTTCAGCAAGAAGCTATCTTATGTAAATGGTCAGATGGCGTTGAGTGAAACCTACTGTGGCACTCCATCGTATGCAGCACCAGAGATTGTAAAAAATGTTCCATACAACCCAAAAGTGTCTGATGTGTGGAGCATGGGTGTTGTACTGTATGTGATGCTCTATGGATCAGTACCCTTCAATACCTCCAACATTACGAGGATGGTAAAAAAGCAAATGGAGCATCGCATTGACTTTCCAAGAATTCCGCCTGTATCAGCTGAAGCAAAGGACCTCATCCAACGCATTCTGCACCCTGTTGTGGAGCAGCGCATTACAATTAGAGAAATATTAAAGAGTTCATGGACATTGCAGGAAGGGAAAATGCAGGATAGTAATGAGGACTCTACATCAAATGCAGGCTCCAGACAGAAAGTACATCCAAAAGAAAAGACCAAAGAGGATGAGCAACCAAGCAGTTCAGATGCAGAGGAAGGACCATCAGCTGTTGGCCAAAGATGATACTCTCACATTAAAAATGAAGCTTGCAAAACAATGAACAAATACACATTCCTTTAAATGGCAACCAGCTGCAATGTTAAAGATTCCACTACTGTATGGTGATTTATACAGTATTAGACAAGTTTTTGCTGTTGAAACATCTAATACAAAACAGTTGTAACAATTCACCTATTTTTTCCAAGGCGACAGTGTCACAACGCACTATATTAAGGAAACGGGTGGATCTGTTCTCAGCAGGGGTGAATGACAGACAAACACATGCATCCGTTTTGACTTACAGCACAGCCTTTTACTTAGTACTCTTTACTTTAGGCATCAATTCACCTCTGCTGGGTGCCTATGATGTAAGGACAGACAGGGCCTTTACACAGTAAACTACTACCCATACTAATTAAGATGCATTTACCTGTATACATAAAGAAGTCATTTTCTGCATTCTGAAGTCAGTGTAGGAAGCTTCATGTGTCACTTAGTTCAACTTTTAGGGTGTGTTTTTGGATAACTCTAGATTCTTGATAAATTAGCTTTCTAAAAGATTCTTTAGAAAAAAATTTAATATTTTTGGGTGCCATGCCCTCCACCTCTGCTTAGTGGCACCTTTCCTCTCTCTCCTTTCCCTTTCCCTCATGTGGCTGTGAGTGAGGTGTGTGTGCTGGACTGTGTGTGGAATCATCCATCCATCCATTATCTATACACGCTTAATCCTCACCAGAGTCGTGGGGGGGCTGGAGTCTATCCCAGCCGACTTAGGGTGAAGGCAGGGGACACCCTGGACAGGTCACCAGTCCATCACAGGGCTACACTTAGAGACAGACAACCAAGCACATTCACATTCACACCTACAGACAATTTAGAATCACCAATTAAACTTAACATGTTTTTGGACTGTGGGAGGAAGCTGGAGAACCAGGAGAGAACCCATGGGGAGAACATGTCCAGAAAGATCCTGGACGTGAACCGGTGACCTTCTAGCTGCGAGGCAACGGTGCTAACCACCGAGCCATCTTTCAGCCCTGCGTGGAATCAATTCATCAGATAATCACCTGAATGAGGACACCTGCAGCGGGGAGGGGCTCACCTGCAAGTAATCATCGTCGAGCATAAAAGATAGGCTCAGACCACCACTTGATGCCGGACTGTTGAACAACCTCTTTTAGCAAACCCAGGTCACTATTCTGCTCCAGTTTTGTTTCTTGTTCACCTGATTTTCCTTTACCTAGTTCTCTGTGTCACTCCCTGCCTGCACCTCCTGCTGAAGCCATGGCTCATACCACACCTGTCTGACCCAGGCTCACTCCTGATTACTCCCACAGATCCACACCTGACTCCCGTCTACAGGAAAACATCATTCCTGCCACACCACACACCTCCTTCATCGGCATTCCCTTAGTCCCTCTCCCAGTTAGGCTGTCAGCTACGTAGAGCAGTTCTGTATTCTCGGGCTTGTTATCTTGTGCGTTGTGATCTAGCAACTAAATTCTCTCGTTATCATAAGCATTCATGTCTGCGTGTGTGTGCTACACATGTTGCAAGAGATAGCAGCTATTTCTGTCTTATGCCGGACCAGAGTTTTCCCATCTTGTGTGTGTGCTTTGTGCACTGCCAGTAGCCGAGTCGTATTATCTGTGTTGTGTTGTGCATGCATTTTCTGATGTTACATAATGCTACATTTCCTGTCCCCTGCTTTCCCAGCCTGGTGTACCTGGTTTGTCTTTGCCTGATTAAATTATAGCTCTTGTTAGTTTGTACGGTTTGCCAAACAGTTATCTTTTGTTCTTGTTCAGCTTTTGTAGCTGTATCGTATTCTGTGTAATTCCTCTGCCTGTTCACCAGTAGCTACCCTCGAGTTTAGTTTAGCTTCTACCCCCGTTACTATTCATTTCTCCTCATTCTCCTTTGTTGTACAGTTATATTCTCTGTAGTATATTAGCTTTATTTAACACTTGGTCTTTAGTGTCATCTGTCTGTGTTAGGGTCTCTGACTCCCTGTAACATTGGGACTTTGTGTGGATGAGGAAGACAAAGCAAGCTGTCCTTGCAATGTTGCAATGGGTAACATTCAGCTTTGCAACAGTTATGATTGTGGCAGGCAACAGAATTCTGCAATGATGAATTAGACTTGGATCACTTGCAGCACCTCACAAAGAGTGCACACAAAATGGGCATGAGTGAAAGTTTATTAAAAACTTAGTACGGGCAATCTTGAGTCACTTTCCAATTATTTCTTTTTTTCTTTGTTTGTTTTGTTTTTGTGTTTAAAGCATATTTGAGTTTCTTAAAAAGTTCTATATAAAACAGATTTATTATTATTATTATTATTATTATTATTATTATTATTATTATTATTGTTAAAGACCTATGCCCGGACCCTTAAATGTTAAACACCATTGCCCATAAGTAGGAAAGACATACAAGTTTGACTGAAGAGGCAAGGCCGTAAGCAGGTTCAGGGGTCACAGTTAACTAACAGGACTGAACACCGCAGAGAGCATGGATACTGATGACACCAAGTTACAGAAGTGTGATGGTGTTTGGAACAGTTTATTTAACTGAGATTTCAAGGTCATCAAACGTTGCATTTTCTCCAGCTGGCATGTCATGAACCAGAATTCATGTCAGCACCACACTTAACTATTCACTTCTCTTAATCTTCTAGCTCATAAGACCCCACTTTAAAGTTCAAAGTTTTTTTCTTTGGTTTTGGTCAAGTTTAACCTCTAACTCGTTTTAAATCTAAACTCTAACTAATTTTGACTCTTGGACACCACTATATTGGGACTGTAGCTCTTCTGATCCCTTACACCACAAATTTAGTTTTACTCCCTGAAGTGATGCTACATTTTTTATTTTTTTTGGCTTAACAGTACAAAGATGGCACCTGACACAAAATGATGTCAAACAAGCATTTTAATAATTTAAAGGACAGCCTTATCTAATGTCAAGTCTGTCAGAAATCAGAACTCACATGTTCTCATGTTTTGCCTACTGTTATCATTCCTCCTGTTCATACGGGTCATCAAAAGGTCCTTTGTAACATGCTTCGGACCAAAGTGATGGTATACAACCTGCAGTCCTCAAGTGCGATTCTTGGTTCGCTGAAGCTAATATGGGCTTCAGCAGACTGAAATAATCAAAGCAAGACAGAACAGAAGGAATGGTCTCAACAAGTAAAAATGGTTTCAATTTAAAGTATATCTGGGCACCTTGTTGGGGCATAAACTCACATGTCACACTGTTGTGTTGAGAAGGAACAATCAAACTGTTCTATGCTGTTTTGGGTAGGTCCCTGCTTAGCTAAGAAACTTCTTCGAATGCAAATCTATTTTATCATTCTATTCAATATCCACCAAATGATTGCCAGCTGTCATTACCCTCTGGGATGACCAACGATAGGCTAAACTGTTGTAATATGTGCCCCATTCGAACAATGTCTATTTTCTTTTAAAAAATATATAATTTGAATGTGAATATGATATGCAAATAGAATCAGAATTTGAGAATCAGAAACAAGCAGTAGGCTTAAGTAAAATTTAGGTTAAAGTTAGAGGGCAATTAAATCATGATAGTCTACAACTTTGTTATGAAACCAAATGTGAAATCCTGAAAAGAAGCATCTGCCCTTTCAACCTAGGGAAAAGCCCACCCTGCTGGGGAAACAGGCTGCTGGGTGAACTCTTACCTCATGTTGTTTTGACCAATACAAACTTGTTACTTTATTTTGTTTTTTAAACTGTTTGATTATTTCCAACTGATTTCATACCAATGGGCTCATGACAAATCACAGTTGGAGAGACTATAACTTTATCATCACAGATACGTATTTAAATTACAGACATAAAATAACCGGAGAATGCTGAGCCTACACTTGCAAAGAATTCCAGCTAACTAGTGCTACAGAACGTTAATACGGCATAATGTAATTAGCTTAATAAAATGTCAGCTAGTTAGCCTTTTATACAGATAATATTGCTGTTTTCATTGCTGGTTTGCTACGTTATTGTTAGATGATTCTCATATTATCTAAATCTAATATCAACAAAGCTACTGTGTTGAAAATCACTGATGTCCACTAAAGGCATCTAACCCCATTTGAAACAAACAAACAAAACAAATACACTTCTACAGATTACAAAAGAGTATTTGTTCATTGTTGAAACTAATGGATAACTGTCCATAACTCTTTTGTTGGCAGAAAACACAATGATTTAAATGTCTAGTGGATTGGTGGGAAAATATATTGGATGAATGTACTGTTCAAATAAATGAGGCTATTTTATCCTCCCATTCCTTGGAGTGACTGCCAGCTCTCATTCACCTACATGACCGAGAATAAACTGGTCACAAGATTAAACACAACACACATTAAACTAGCACTTTTTAGGAGGCGTTTTTAGCAGTAAGGACAGCACTTGGTTGTGATTTTATTCTCGGACTTAAGAGCATGCTCCAGGCAGTATGTGAACAAAACACAACCGTTAGAGGAAATAATAGCCACGTGCGTCAGCAGTGCTTTTATTTCGAAGAGCGTATTGTGGCAGGCGCCCTGCTCCAGCGGAGGCCATTCTCCATCACAGTTACACCTGACTTTGTGCGTAAGCGGATAGACCTCTGTCAGGCCCCGTTTTCTGCGTTTTTTAATTATTTATTTTCGTGTAAACTGCAGTCTTGATTTAAAAACATAGATGGTGGATAATTTAGCCCCGCGCTGAGGGTCCAGGAACTACTGCAAAGGATCATAAAGTCATCATAAATCTGTGTAGCTATCCGCCGACATGGCTCGACCACGGCCGCGGGAATACAAGGCAGGAGATTTGGTTTTCGCTAAAATGAAGGGGTACCCGCACTGGCCGGCGAGGGTGAGTCTGGGATGCGGCCGGGCTGGGAGCACAGGGAGGCGGGGTTGATTTACACAATACAGCCGCTGCTTTGCTGTTGGGGATCAAGAGGGATGCTGACTTCACTCCGCAGCCGCATTTGGTTCGTGTTTTTGTGGCGCTGACAACCTGAAACCGGTATTTTCCGTCAGGTTGAGTACATATCTAGACATTTTAAAATGATGGGGAAAAAAACGTAACAGTTATTGGGCTCCATTTTCTCAGTACCTGTCCTGCACCGTTTAGCTCTTGCTTTAGTTGTAACGCATTTTTTTCATCTTTCAGCGCAGTAGTTTAGCGCGTGCTGTCCATTCAAGCTAATGTTTGCATTTTTCTGTCACCTATGGAATAAACGAACCAGTAGTTGACCTCCGTGAACCCATAGCACCCCCGTTTTAAAACTACTATTAATACGCACGTCTCGTTTTAAAGAAAAAAATAAAACACATGTTGGGGTGTTTTGCATTGTAGCCCTAAGTGCAAAGAATGGCCTTAAATGAATGGAGCACTATCAGCTCTGTACTGTACTGTGGAGTGAGAAAGGCTGTCAGGCTTCATTTGTGACCTCTTTAAACAAGTTACTATGAGCATCTCTCTACCGGTCGGACTAAATCAGCTTTACCAGGTCCTATTGTCTCTGAATGACAGGACAGAATCCCATAATACCTGATAATAATTTGTGTAACATGGCAGACATTAGCAGATGACAGGCAATGTAAACAACTGAATGATCAGCATTATGAGGAGCATAGCAAATATTCAGTAACAGTTTCTCTCCTGTGCTTCAGATTGATGAGCTTCCTGAAGGAGCTGTCAAACCACCTGCCAACAAGTACCCCATCTTCTTCTTTGGGACCCATGAAACGTAGGCACCTTTTTTTCCACTTGTTGTTTCAGAAGAAAGCAGCTGCTATGTCATATCAATGTTATGGAGTTGTGATACATTTAAGACAATTATAGTTTTTTTGTGTACAAGTATTAAAGTTGTTGATATTACTATTGTTCTTGACTTTGGAAACTGTATGTAGTTTGACAACACAATTTTAATGCATGGTCCTCCAGCAGTTTATGAGGTTTTAACCACAACTTACACACTTTATTCAATTCAGTTCAATTTTATTTATATAGTGCCAATTCACAACATGTGTCATCTCATTGCACTTCACATGATAAAGCGAAGACCTCATGAATTTTAAGCGAAGAACAGAGAATGCAACAGTGCAAAGTTACCTTTGGATTCTCAATGAGCAAGTAGTCAGCGATTGTGGGAAGGAACAAAAATAAATAAATTTAACAGGGAGGAAAAAAAAAAAACCTCCAGAAACAGGCTCAGAGAAGGCAGCCATCAGCCTCGACTGGTTGGGGTTAGAGTGGGGATGAGAGGAGTGAGGAATAGCAGGAAGGGTTGGGATGGGTATAGGAGGATAGCAGATGGAGAACATACAAACACTGCAAACAGAACAGTGAACATTTTGGAGGTCAGTGAGGCCAGAAACTTCAAATCAGAGACGTGTAGCTCCAGATCCAGAGACACCCGCAGAGAGAACAAGCACAGGACCTTGGGGGAAACACAGAGGTAGTGATATGTAATGGTGGCATATAACTGTATGGAAGAGATAGAGAGGAGAGTAAAGGAGAGAGGCCCAGTGCATCATGGGAATCCCACAGCAGTCTAAAGCTGTAGCAGCATAACTGAGGGACGATTCAGGTGATCCTGAGCAGCCCTAACTATAAGCTTTATCAAAAAGGAAAGTTTTAAGCCTAATCTTAAAAGTAGAGAGGGTGTCTGTCTCCAGAACCCAAACTGGGAGCTGATTCCACAACAGAGGAGCTGATAACTGAAGGCTCTGCCTCCCATTCTGCTTCTGGAAACTCTAGGAACCACAAGTAGACCTACAGTCTGAGAGCAAAGGGCTCTGTTAGGATAGTATAGTAAGATAAGGTCTTTAAGATAGGATGGTGCTTGATCATTTGTCAATACATGACCTATGTATGAGACTTTCGCCACATAGTTACTGTCATATATCATTTTGTGTTTTCATATATGTTCACAACAAGTTTTGATCTTTTCTTTCTTTATCAACATATGATAAGCTGCTAAAGGCATACAATTTAATATTAAAATTCCCTGATTAAGACAACCAAATATATGACCATATATTAAGTGAACAAGTCTATGAATCTGAGCGAGCTTACATATATAGTAATGTATTTCTGTTAATATTTAAAAACTGCTATTCATTAATGATTGATTAAAACATGGTGGTAGTCCTGACTGTTTTACTAACAGTAGAAGTATTAAATTTGTCTTCTTTAGTGCATTCTTGGGGCCAAAGGATCTTCTGCCCTATAAGGAGTATAAAGATAAATTTGGCAAGTCCAACAAGAGGAAAGGTTTCAACGAAGGCCTGTGGGAGATTGAGAACAACCCAGGAGTCAAGTTCACAGGCTATCAGGTCAGTTGGCAGTCTGTTATGTCTGTGATACAGAGAGAAGACAGGAAAAATTCTAAAACACAATTGAAGTAGCTGTTCAAAACCGACAGCCATTTCTACTTTATGTTTTACCAAACAAATTATCGGTGTTTTCTGAACACAGGCCATCCAGCAACAGAGCTCATCAGAGACAGAAGAGGGGGGAAACACTGCTGATGGGAGCAGCGAGGGTGAAGAGGGAGACTCTGTTGAGGAAGATGACAAGGAAAAGCTGAAGGGAGACAAGACTGGATCCAAACGGAAAAAGACAGCCACCTCCAAGGTACTTTACTTCAGTGGTGAGCACTGAAGAAGGTCATGTGACATAGAGAACCAACCTGAAAATTATATAAGTTTGGAGAATAGATTGTATTCATTGAGATGTCATTTTTCAGTCAACCCTCCTGTCATGTTGCTGTCTTGAGCATTTGGCATGAACAGCAGAGGTCATCAGATCTGATGGAAAATCTACCCTCAGATTGTTACATTTCATCGAACTGTAAAGGTAAAGGCTTACCTATATTATATGTTACAATATTTGCAAAGCATGTCCTTGAGAGATGTGCTTTGGAGTAGATTAAGGGGGTAATGTGTGATGTACAAACAGGTTAACACTGGCACCTGTTCATTCAGTATGCTTCGTATCATAGCCTTTCTGATCCCTCTCCAAAAATGTTATGTGTATATTTGTGTATTTTATGTATGTTTACAGTCTACATGTGATTAATTATCCAAATGAGGACAACAGTCCTACCTTCAGTCATAAGGCTGTCAATGTTTTGTAGCTTTATTGTTGCCAACGAATCCTAAACATGTAATAGAGCCTAGTATATCTCATTTCTCTCAACCATACAGATACATTATTCATACTCAAAAATGCATCAATGAGCTACTCTGTTGCACTGGGTGACATGTTCCTTCTTTGCCATAAACACTCACTAGTTTATTTTGACTCCATACCTCTGGAGCAGCAAATGTGGATTTATCGGCTACTGAAAATGGTCCAAGAAATGCAATATTTCTTCCTGTTTTGATGAAGTGGCCACCTGAAAATATCAGTAGCTGAAATACATTTTTGATTTGCTGGGTTAGGGTTAGGGTCAGGTGGTAGAGCGGTTGACCTCTGATTGCAAGGTTGGTGTTTCGATCCCCCACCCCTCCACAGTTGAAGTTCCCTTGGGCAAGACATTGAACCTGAAGTTGTTCCCAATGGCAGGCAAGTGCCTTGCATGGCAGCTCGCCATTGGTGTATGAATGGGTGAATGCGAAAACATTATAAAGTGCTTTGAGTACCACTAAGGTAGAAAAGCGCTATGTAAGTGCAGACCATTTACTGTTTGCTTACAATAATATAAAGTAACAGCAGATTGATCTTCCAACATCTATCTGATTTATATTTATAGATGGACAGATTCATAAGTATTTAGAAAGTGACACAACATTCATTCTGTTTACCTTCATAATGGACTTGCAATGAAGGAGGCAAGATGTGATTGAAGCATAGACCTCTTGTAATTCAAGGGGTTTCAAAAAATAGGAATTACAGCTATGTTTACATCATCCCTCCATTTTCAGCACCTAAATAGTAAATGGACAATTGTCTGACAAGCAGTTTGATTTCCAAGTGTGTCTTACTTCCTCATTATTTCTAGACCAGTTCAGGAGGTCAGATGTCTGGGGCGTGTGTACAAACATTCCCATGCAAAGTATGGATTTATCAACTTGTACTTAGGAATGTGTGGAAATATACGCACAACTCTGCCCATGCGTACGCACACAATCTAGCGGTAGTATTGTGAAACTACAAATAGAAAGCATTCAGGGATTTTGACCACCGGCACATTCCAGCATGAGGTTGGAGACATATGCGGCATTTCCCAGCCATCACTGAGCAGGATCAA